ACACACACAGACAGACACAGAGAGCAGTTTGGGGTTCAGTATGTTGCTCGAGATGCAGCGGGAGGAGCCGGGTATCGAACCACCGAAAGGTCAGTGAAGTTGTCTAACAACAGTAAATATAGAGCGACGGTCAGTTTGAGTATGAATAAAACGTTCCTTCTCTGCTGGGTGAAAGTAAATGACCTCTGTGTAGGTTGTATAAATGTATATGAATATATATACTCAGTGCCTTTTGATTGGCCATCAACCGTGTATTTATGGGCATATCGTCGAAATAACAGACTTGAACCGTAAATGAATCTCACAGATGGAACGAGACAGATGTACGAGCGATGTTTCCTCTTCAGCTGATGGACACTTTATTTACACTGAACCCCCAAAAGCTCTCGTTTTCCTTCCAAACCTGCTGTTTATATTTATCTTTATAGTTTTTCCCTTTATTTGAGAGAGATTCATTCATTTGATTTGACAGCAAAGGGCCGCAGGTTGGATTCGAACCCACGGCGGCTGCAGTACGGACTCGGTACATGTGTCCAATCTGAACACGCACATAGAGAGTCAATCAATCAGCTCATTCAGCCGCTCGCTCCCAAACACTCCCTCCCTCTCTCTCTCTCTCTCTCAGCCGAGTCCGGTCTCACTTACACACAGTCAGAGATGGGGGTTGATGGAGAGTCAGGATGGCGCGTGGTGATGGCGTCACAGACTGTAGGCCGACTGCCTGCTCTGTCCCGGCCTGCAAGGGATGAGCCAACGGATACAACAGACAACAACAACAACAGAGAGGTCAGAACAGCGATGGGAGCAGTGGAGCACAACACCTGCTTACTTTCTGATTTCAGCACACGATGATAAAAAGGCTTTTTTTTAATTTAAGGAATCAACAACAAACAAACAAACAAACAAAAGTGGTGTGAGATCAGGGATTACATCACACTCTGACTCTCTGGTAGGCGGAGAGGAAGAGCGGAGGATGAGATGAGATACAAAATGAGAGTGGCTTCTGGCTTCATGCAGTGTGTATGTAAGAACAGCTGGCCAGCATGCAGATGTACACACACACACACACACACCTTCAGGGGGATCTTCCAGCCAGGTTCCTACACACTACGGCTGTCACGGTGAAGGAATTTCCCCTGCGGTGATTTAAGGTGGCTCAACAGTGTGTTTGGTTTAGATTATAGAGCGTGTTTAACCTCAGTCCCTGCACTCTCCCTCCTCCAGGGTCTGTGACCCGGTTAACAGGCAACTTTCAACCAAAACAAAGTTGGTTCACATATTCAGCTGAAAGTCGCTCCTTAACCCAAAACACCCTTAAACATCCCATAATGGTCGGCTGTTAATAGCACATTTCTTTCCTTTATAATCTCTGCTGCTGGTTTTGGTTTTTATTCCTTTCTTTGTAGATGTGGAGGGTTCACTCGTACCTGGCTGGCGAACAGCGGTGGCACCCACGAAGCTGATGAGTGTGACGTCTGAGGCACCGCCGGACTCCAGGGGGATCGGGTGCACCCGGAAGTGCTCCAGCATGTCGAAGATGGACTGGAACCAAAGGTGCTGCACTCGGCACTGACCGTCCTCGTTCAGGGACAGACGGAGGTGCTGAGGGGACGAGCACAGTAGAATAAATGGACCTTTACACGGTGAACAGTGGAACACACACAGAGCTGAGCTCAGACTCACCTTGGCCTTGCCCTGGAAGTTAAAGGTGAGGACGTATTCTCCGCGCCGTGTCTCGCTCTGGCGAACCAGGAAGACGCCGTGGCTCGCCGGGCCTCCAGCCAACACCAGCTGGGCCGCTTTGAGGCGGGACAGGGTGCCGTGGAACCACTGACACTCACTGAGCGGGTGCTCCACCGCCTCCGCGGTTGTCGTCTCCGAGAACAGGAAGGACCCTGTGCGTGAACAAACGTACGATACTTTAACGCTCGCAGCTCTTTAAAGAGTTTCATTGTGTTAAATAAAAACGTTGGATCATATTCACCTGTGGCGTCTGGTGTCTCAGCAAAAGGTGTGCCCAGACTAGCCCCGCCTCCCCCGAGAATCCGGCTGTCTGGTTCGTCCAGAGGGGCTCGAGGGGGCAGCTCCGGGGGGAGAGGATCCATCAGGGGGGAGGAGCCTCCGATACCTCCATAACACACTGAGACAACACAAAGGGAACGGAGCTATAAAGCGGATACAAGAATCCCTGAACCAGGGTTCAGATCCTTCACAAACCTGATCTCACGTACCTTGTGAAAGACGGTCAACAATCTCAGGCGTCCCACTGATGTCCAACGGCCCCCCGCACACACCTTCAGCGTCTTCCTGTTCACTGTGGGAGAGAGACACTTTAAAGGGGACTCAGACAAACGTCCTACCTGCTTGTCCTGTCCTAAATTCGGTTTGAGAGATCAGAACTAGACTCATGTCCATTTTATCTTAAGAAATCCTCACTGGTACTCTAAACTCTGCCTGTATCCACGGCGAGCTGTGCTAATGAAGCTGTAGGTGCCCCCCCCATCCGTTCACTACCTGAGACAGATGCCGTTCCTGATGTCGCTCAGCCAGGCTCTCATCTGCACAGCGTCACGGGTCTCGATCACGTACTGCGCCGCCCCTTCCAGCTGAGACAGAATGAAACAGCGAGGGTTAAACTTCATCTCTGCTCATGTCTGTCATTAAACTAAGAGCTGTTGAATCCACCTTCCTTGTTATTTCAGGTTATTTCCTGTATTTGGTGCCTCTGAAGTTCAAATGTCAGTGTAATAAAGTAAACATCCTCCGTCACAGCGTCTCCGTCCTCAGAGGACAGCGGGGGAAATTTACTGGACAAAAATAGTTTTCCAGTCGACTCCATGGGGAGTATACAGGAAGAAAACTATGCAGGGATTCATTTATTTCATTGGAGGCGTTGATTCATCATTACAGATAAAACATTGACAACAAGGTGACAGCAGGAGATGTGAACAGCTGTGTACACTTCAATAAGAGCACCAGGAGGAGAGGTGTTTGATCAGATGGAAGAATACCTGTGGAGAGTAAGAGCGAGAGATTACCTGCAGCAGGAAGGTGTTCTCCTTGTCGGGGACCTCCAGCGCTGTGGTGCTCCTCACATCCACGATAGAGCAGCAAGGGACAGTCAGCCGGGGCTTTGAGGACTGTGGAGACAAACCAAGAAGAATCAGAGACTGAAGTTCCTCCGTTAGCCATCAATACAAAACTACAGAAAACAAAGACTTTATTTCGTTTCTGTCCAGTTTGAAGTGTGTTTCAGGATTATCTGTTAGGTTAAATACTGGTTTTATTAAAACAGTCTGGTGGGTTATAGCACCCATTGTTTCCGTCTGAGATGCTGGGTCTCTAGTGTGACATCCAGTGGCAGTGAGTTTCATGTATGACCTTTAAAAGTGGATATTGTTACCTGGTTAACTGTTTCCTCCGTTTCCAGTCTTTATGTGAAGCTATGCTGTCTGTAACTTCATATTTACCATCAACCACCAATCAAACGGAGCAGAAACTAGAGCTGCAACTAGGGATTATTTTGTGACGTCTTCCAAGAAAGATATTTAGTTTAATAACATATAAATATGACGGGGAAATCAAATCTGTAAAACTTCAGGAACTAGAATTAGAGACATTTCTTTTTGGGTTGTAAAAATAATGAAAACAGTTATCAGATTATCAGAATCGATTAATCGACTATAAACTATAAACTATATATATTGACGCTGCTACCTGCAGACACAGGACGTAAACACTGATTCCACTTCCTCAACTTGCAACTCTTGTATTAAATATTTCATTATTCATTCCTCGTCTCTCAAATTATTTTGACTATTTTTGCCTCATTATGTTTGGGTGTTAAACCTGTTTAGTACTTTAATCTTTATATAAATGGTTTTTTACAAGCGTATCTAAGGAAACGTTCCTGTTGTTCTGCTGCTGTAGGATCAACACTTTATCTTCTGTCTCGTGCTGCATGAAGACGTTTTAAAGCTTCACACTTACTTTAGGTGGAATGAAGAATTCCAAGTAGTACTCCTCTCCCCGCTCCCCGCCCTCTCTGTCCCTCTCTCTGAGGACCAGGCGACATTTATGCCAGCGCCCCCCCCTCCAGGGCACGTTCCCGCCGCTGGCCAGAGGCTGAGCCGGGCCGGTCTGAGCTGCAGCGGAGGCGGCGCTGTTGTTGTCCGTGCTGTGATGCAGCAGACCGAACGAGAAGCCAGAGAAGCCGTGGCCCGCGCTCAGCTCGTCGCTGGACGAGCTGACGGTCACCCCGCCCTCCCGCACCAGCCGGCCCACCTTCCTCGGAGGACCCACGGCGGCGGCGGCGCTGCTCGGGGGCAGCGTGGAGGAGGCGGAGTGAG